GAGGAATAGTGGGGTCAAATGGGACCTCCAATCCTAGTTCTCAGAGGTATCTCCATACTGATTTCCACAGTGGTTGCACCAGTCTGCACTCCCACCAGCAGTGGAGCAGGTTCCTCCTTCCCCACAGCCCCAGCAGCATTTGTTATTGGTTGATTTCATGCTAGCAGCCATTCTTTCTGGGGTGAGGTGGTATCTCAGTGTTGTTTTCATTTGCATCTCTCCAATGACCAGTGATGTTGAACATTTTTTCAAAAGGGTGACATCTTTCAAGGGACAGAGAAGTGATTTATTTGAAGTCATACAGCTTTTTAAGAAAGCCAGTGCAAAAGCTAACAGTACATATTTTTGACTCAAGAAAATGCACATGTGTGTGCATACCCATCTGTGTGGGTGGGTAGGGAACTACTGATATTCATAATTACTTATTCTTGTCACAGTTTGCTTTTACAATCCAGTTCTACATACTGACCTATGTGGAGATTTACCCAGAATTAGTGTCTTTATGTTTTCTCTCATTAAGAACAGAACAAAAATGACAAACACAGCCAGCAAGTTTGTGGAATTTATTATGAATCAAAGGATCCCTAAAAAAACAAAACAAAACAAAAAGAAGACTCTAAAGTAAAGTTTCTCATAAGAAGATCTTTCAAAGAACTTAGTTTAGTGGACAGCTCGTGGTCAGATAGAAATCATCTGGTAGTGGTAGACAGCGCTTCTGGAGGGTGTCAGGAACCCAAGTATTTCGCATGAATTTTACAGAAGCAGGCCCTCACTTAGTTGAATTGTTACTGGATTTAAATTTAGTTCAATGGACAGCTCTATCTAATTAAAAATGCTCTTTCAGTGTACACTTTGCTTGTCACTCACAGGTTAAAGTTTAGCTATTTCTAGCTCCTAATGGGTGTGCCACAAATGACCCATAACGTTGAGCCTGGGGCTTTCTGACCCTGACATCCCTCTTGATTTGAAATCTACGTTATCTGAGGTAGAGATGTTCATCACAGACAGGCCCCATCTGTTTTCTCTTCCTAGAAGAGCAAAGACAGCGTAGGGGAGATGATTCTAATGGTGAGAATGTGCTTGATGACAGCTTGTGCGCTAAAGAAATGTTCAAATCATTGATCACAGATACGAAAGGACCTGAAATTACTTACCCCTAACAGGAGAGCCCTCTATAGTAGCCTCACAAATGGTTGTCACTATATTCTTTTTACTGTGGTATTAATAACATAAAGTTTACCACTAATTTATACAATAAATGGTCTAAGTGTACATTGCAGTGATGTTAGGTAGAGTCACAGTGATGTGAAACTATTATTACCACTACCTATTTCCAGAATTTTCCCATCATTCGAAACAGAAATCCTGTACCTATTAAATGATAATTCCTTACTCTCCTTTCTTCCCAGGCCCTGAGAGCTATTATTTTATTTTATTTCCCTATGGATTGGCCTATTCTTAGACTCTCAAATAACACTTGCTTTTTTGTGTCTGGTTTATTTCACACAGCATAATGTTTTCAGAGTACATCCTTATTGCAACATGCATCAAACCTTCATTCCTTTTTATGGCAAAGTAATGATTAACAGTGTATATGCACCACATCTACTTATTCACTTATCTGTTGATGGAAGCCTGGGTTTCCATCTTTGAATGCTTATGAATAATGCTGCTGCAAACATTGTTATACAGGTATCTGTATCCCTGCTCTGCATTTTTTGGTTTTTTGTTTTGTTTTGTTTTTTTGGCTATATATCTAGGATTGAATTGCTGGATCATATGGTCATTCTATTTTATCTTTCTTTCGGTGGTGGTGGTGGTAGAGGTTTGCCGGAAATCAAACCCAGGGCCTCACCAATTATTTTCACAGTAGTCGCACCTTTTTCTGCTCCCATTAGCAATGTACATTGCTTTCGCTTTCCCCCACATCCTTGCCAATGCTTGCTATTGTGTTCTGTTTTCTGTTTTATTTTTATTATAGCCATCCTAATGAGTGTAAAGCAGTATTTCATTGGATTCAGATGTTCTTAAACATTTTCTGTGCCAAGGAGCTCAGCACAGCACCAGAAAGCTGTTGTAGATCATCTCTAATTGTTAGAAGGTTCTTATTACCGATTACTAAATCTTGCCTCCCTCTACCAGTGATTTTTCAACCTTGGTTGCTTACCAGAGTCACTTGAGAGCTTTAAACACTTCTAATATTCAGGCTGCAAACAAGATCAATTATAATAAATCAGTGACTCTGATGTTGCTGCCCATTGTCAGCTCGTTTTAAAACTCCCAGAGAGATTTCAATATGTATCTGGGGTTTTAACGTAGTGCTTAATGCCTATTCACTGGTCCTGCTTATCCACAACCTGTGCACCTTGGGGTAGGACAGCTGTGCTACTAAAGCCTTCTCTGGCAGCCATCATGTAATAGTCACTTTCTGTCCCCGCTAGCAGAAGAATGCTCTTCGGGATTCTTTCTCCATAGAATGTATTTATCAGCGGACACTGCATATTTTCTGTGTGTCTGTTTATTGTCTGTTCTGTTTTGCTTATCGCTGCTTCCCTAGGACATATAATGTCTAACATAGAGTAGGTAAAATACTTAGAAAATATTGTTGATAAATGAATATGTAAATCTGCTCTCAGTTCAAATGATGTCCCTTTTAGACAGTCAAAAATAGCTTTTGTTTTAGTCTCAAGACTTTGTTTATATAGGGACTTTATTTCTGTACTTTCAATTAACTTTCAGAGACATTGAAGGATAAACCTCATCATAGTGAACATAATATGTCACTTGCCAACTAGCAAATCACTGAGTCTTTACTACAGTTGTGTGTACCTACAGATTACACATACTACAGACTGGGCATTTTGGGCCGTGGAGGAAAAGCTAAGCAGAATGAGACTGTGGGGGGATACACAGACATAATCAGTAACAGAAATCATTCGAGATAAAAATGGTAGAAATAAAAGGAAAAATGCTTGTTGTCTGTAGCACATTGAATGAGTTTTGAATTTAATCTGAGATCCAAAGGGCAAGAAATAGCCAACAAGAAGCATTCCAGGAAAAAAAATACATCAAATACAGAGCCCTGAGGGGTGAGTATTTTCAGAGAGCTCTGAGTCAGAGCCTGTAAGTACAAAGTGAAGAGCCTCTGTCACCCGCTTTGATAGACACTGCACCCCGTTAATAAGGCCTTAAGTCAGGTCGTTGTTTTGGTGCGTTTCTTACCCCGTTGAAGTCTTTCTCCACATTGAATCATGTCTTCCCTGTCCAACATTTATTTGTACTTTTGGTAGTTGGAATTTAAGTGTGGAAGTCTGGCTTAGACAGACATATCCTTTTCTATCTGAACTCCAGCTCTGAAAGTTTCAATCAGTGCATCTGTAGAAATATTTGTCAGCAGAGTGGAGGGACTTTTTCATTCTACAACTACAGTAAGACTGGATCCTTATTCCACTTGGGAGATGGTCTTCTGTGCCTACCCAATAGAAGGAATTTTGCACAAGGCCAAAGCCTGGACCTGGCAGCCTTGTGCCATGGTGACTCAGTGCCTATCTTGATTTTCCACAGCAGTTTAGTAAAAGCAGGTGATGTTTGAATCTGGAAACCTTAGGATCCAGGGGTAAACTCACAGGACAAGCAGCCTTTTCTAGACCAGTTGCTGACATGTTCTAACAACTCAGTTACTAAAATCAAGCACTTTTCCCCACTGACATGTAGGTTTTGAGTCCAGGGGCTTTAAGTTCCTTTAAAACATCATTAAAAAGTTCCCTAGTAAATCTTAGCCCATTTTTAGATTTGTGGAAACTGGTGTAATTTACTCGCGTACATTTCCTGAGCATAATTAATCTTCCTAATTATGCTTATGTAAGCAAGTACCCAATTTTCTATGTATTTCTTGATAATGTATTTACTTGAAGATAAAAACAACCCAGATGTATGTCTAAATATCATGCAGAAGCCACTGATTTTTAAATATCCTTGGATAATCCATAAAAGGAGTAATTCCAATAAAACAAGTGAGAGATGGTAGTATATTACGATGATTAATTCTATATTTTCAGAAAAAAGTAAACTCCTCTTACCTTTTGTTTTTCTATTATAACAACCAGCTTTTGGTACTTCATTGTTACTAAGATCTATTTTTAAAATAAAATTTGTTCTCCATTTAAAAAAAAACTTCATTAAAAAACATTTTATAACTCTTTAAAAGATAAAACTTTTCCTGTAGCTTCTGAATAGGCTGGAGATGCTTACACTAGGAAAGAAGCATTTGTAGAATCAAGCAGTGCAGTGAAAATGATAAGAGCATAAATTAAAACTGAAAATGGTGACATGTATTGACACCAAACGTGGTATGGCTCAGGGCAGCAGCAAAAGTCTCTGAGTTATTGATTGGCTGTTGTCTCTTCTGTGAGCATCACAGAATCTGGGGTCAGTCTGTCTAGGTGAGTTGATAGGACAGATCCAAGAGCAAGATTCAGGCATCATCTGCTCTCCCTGCAACATCTCCCTGTGAACAGCAGCTTCTGCATGGACTACGGTGGGGTACTGAAAACAAGGGAGCCCACGTATTCCTGAAGACCCCGGTGATGGTACTGTCACTTAGTCATCCAACACCGTCTTTCTTTCATCTGATAGATGCAACTGACACACTGCGTATACAGCGGTGTGAAGAGCTTAGCTCCTTGCCTCCTGGAGCACGATCTAGTTGGGCAGGTCCTCAAAACAGGAGTCAGCCAAACACACTGCTGAGTATATTCTCTGATGGAGAATAAGTCAGGCTAGTGAGAAAGCCTCATGTTCTCATGATATAGGAGTTCACCAGAAGGGCTCTTCAAGTGAGAAGGACAGGCTGTGAAATATATTAGGCCCATGATATATGTGTGTCGCTGTTGATGATGAAGTTGCCTTCCTCACCATCAAGGAAGATAAGATGAATTCTCTTTCCCGTGTTCTGGAGTCTTCTTAAATTCTCTATGGTTTTGTGTGCCTGTGTCTTCCAGTTCCAAGGAGGGCTTTGGGTCAGTGGAGAAGGTCGTGCTGCTCACGTTTCTCTCAGCGGTCATCCTGATGGCCATCCTGGGCAACCTGCTGGTGATGGTGGCCGTGTGCAGGGATAGGCAGCTCAGGTGAGCTATACAGGGGAACCTCTTAGGAAGTAGGGGTGGAGTTCTGGGCCCTACCTGGAAAGTCAAGCCTGAAAATAACACCTGAAATTTGTAATTAGGAGGGAAATATACAGGGGAGTTGTTTCTGACAAATAGAGGCAGGGCAGGGTGATCACACAACTCTGACATAACCTTCTGTGTATTTCCACCCTGTCTTTTTTCCTAAGTTCTGTTTGGTTGGTTTCAATAGTTGTGATCATTATATACACAATTGTTGGGAGCACATCTAATCTGTAATCTCCACATTTTATCACTGGTTCAGGAAAAGGGGGACTGACTTAGAATTAAACCTGAGTCTTCAGCTCTTTATTTTTCATCACTCTCAATCCTGGCCACAATTAGAATCATTTCAAGTGCTTTTAAAAGGTACTACTGTGTGGCATCAGTGTGTGCCAAACAATTTTGTAGACATCCTTATAAGTTATTCACTGTTAAATCAAAATTTAACTGAGCCCCCTGTGCTTTTTCTGGGGAGGGGGCATTGTTGGAAACTGAACCCGGGATCTCACCCGTGCCAGCTCTTTACCACTGAGTTACATTCCCAGCCCACATCCTGTTTTTAAGGTGCGGCTGTTTTCAAGGGGCTGGCTAACAGCTCAAGGTTCCTGAACTAACTGATCTGGGGTGAAATCTAGGGCATCAATATTTATTAAGTATACCAAGTGATTCTAGTATTAGTCTGGATTGAGAGCCACGGGGCCATTAAAGAGGGTACACAGTGCAAGTTCCCTGTCAGCAAGATAAGCACCCATCCAATGATTATGTAAATGAAGCAGAAGAGCACAATCCTGACCAGTGCCATAGCTGTGAGGCACACAGTAGCCAGTCTGCGGGTGTAAAATGTTGGAATGTGACTGCTACTTGTGAGGGATGCATTCTGAGAGGGGTCCCTGAGAGTGACCAGCCAAGATCACTCAAGGAAAAGAGGGTGGGGGGTGACGAGGCCAGGATAGGAAGACTGAGCACTCGGGAGGGAGCTGGATGCACAGAGAAAATTGGCTCAGGCCAGAGTGCTCCACGGGGAAGGAAGAAATGGCTTTCGGTACAGTACAGAGTGGAGAAGTCAGAACTGGGCCAGCCACTGAGTATCTGCTCAGCCTTGCTGCATAAGGAGAAAATGAATCTCACAGAATATGCTAAATGTATCACTTTTCTTCCCTTATCCTTTCTCTTCTTTGCCTATTTCTTTGCCTTTCTTTTCCCATTTCTTTTCTTGTTCTTTTCTCCCTCTCTTCTCCTTTTGTGCCCCCTCCTGCCTTCTCCCTTATATATTTTCACTCACAGGAAAATAAAAACCAATTATTTCATTGTGTCTCTTGCCTTTGCTGATCTGCTGGTTTCGGTGCTGGTGATGCCCTTTGGGGCCATTGAGCTGGTTCAAGACATCTGGATTTATGGGGAGATGTTTTGCCTTGTCCGGACATCTCTAGACGTCCTGCTCACCACAGCATCCATTTTCCACCTGTGCTGCATTTCCCTGGATCGGTAAGAACGGAACAAAGTGCATAGTGAAGCTCAGTGCTGGACGCAATAACCTGGTGGATCATGCAGTGTCTTTCATTGCAAGAAGTGAATCTCGGAGATGCAAATTTGGTGACTTGCCCACTCCCTTGTTCCTCAGCCTTTGCTGAGGGCGCCTTTAACCCAACCACTCTCTAAGGTCTAGAGGTTAGTGAGACCTAGAACGCACCAGAAAGGAACCTACAGTCTAGATAATGATAAGCACCAGCAATCAGGTTTACTATGGAGCTCTAATTTTTATATTGATAACATAAACAAAATTCTAGGGAAGCTATGTAGTACGAATCAACTTTGGCCTGATGAGCAGTAGTGCTGGTACAGAAAGCTCTAAACTTTACCTAAAATATATCTGTGTAGTAATGGGCAGGTGAGTGCCTTTGTTTATGGAAATTCTTTTCCAGAAAGTTAAAGGTGATAATAAAATCTTCACTAATTGGTTGCTTTCTTGGACCTGGGACTAACTAACGTTTTCTCTGTTGCATAATTTTGTTCTGCTTATTCATATTTGACTTCAGGAGGCTTAATGATTTCCATCTCTGCCTCACTTGTTGATGATGTATATTTATCACTTGTATCAGTACTTTCCATTTCCCAATTCATGATCTTTTTTATTGGATAATAGAAGCAGAATGCAGGTTAAAAGTGAGATGATTCCAGGAACATGTGCTGTTGTGATTTTAGGTATATCTTAGGGGTTAGTTCCTACAGGAAAGTGTAAAGCACAGATTACACACAGCTAGAATTATCAAGCACTGTCTCTTTAGAAGTCCCCCAAACCTGAGTTCTCTCCAGTCTTGGCATAGATTACTGTTTTTTTCATCGAGGACTGGGAAACATCATTGACTGACGTTAAAGACTGTGTTATCTAAAATATTTACCTTTAAACTGTAAAGTTATGGTCTTCCTGGAGAATGACTTATACTGGAGGAGGTCCTTGGGGACTGAAAGCAGCTGTGAGATCAGCAGATTTGTCTCCTGTCTCACAGGACATATGCTAATGGATTGGAATGACAGAAGAAATGGTCTGCTTTGTGTCAATTGCTCTTTTTTCTTCTTGCCAAGAACATAGAGTCAAATGTGCCCAAGTAACATGGATATAAGAAACTCTATTCTATAGCTACAGGGCCAGGGGTTTAGCTCAGTGTTTCTGGCACCTGCCTCGCAAGTACAAGGGCCTGAGTTCGATCCCTGTTACAAA